AGCAGCTCCGCGTCCTGCCCACGCAGCTGCAGGCTTGCTAGCGCTCCAGTGCACTGTGCTGCAGGCAGCCCCACGGCAGAGAGGTGCCTGGCTGTGAACCCCATCCTTACTGAGGGCTGGCCGCCAGGAGCGGGTCAGGCATCGCTGTGGCTGACTGGATACTGCAAGTCAGATGGTGCCAGTGAGGTTTTTCCCTGTTTTAATGGCAGGCTTGTGTTACCTCTTCTTTGTCCCATCATTACAGAGAGCCACTGGATGTCATGGCCTGGTAAAGGCCATGTGAGGAGTTCTGGGTCTTCAGTTGCTTTTTCAGTGTTTTTCTGCAGCCCAAAGGGAGCCAGCCTAGGAGATGAGGGGGACTGAAGGTGATGCTGCTGGCTGCACTCTGCCCCAGGGCCAGCTCCTGCACATCTCTAGCAGCAAGGGCTGCAGCTGAGCATGGGCACCAAGCCTGTCCCCAGTGCCACAGTTGCTGTTGCAGCATTTGACAGTGCACGGACACCCATCAGCCGGGTGGATCAGCTCTAGCGTGGAGAAGAGGCATGCAGCGTCAGCCAGCTGCCAGGGTGGAGGAGGGCCTGGGAGCACCAGCTCTCCCCGTGCCCGGTGTGTAGGAGCCGTGTGTTTTCCTTCCCAGGGGCAGCCATGGGCAAGCACAGCAGCAAGCTGGCCCCGGAGATGCTGGACGACCTGGTGAGGAGCACAGAGTTCAGCGAGCAGGAGCTGAAGCAGTGGTACAAGGGCTTCCTCAAGGATTGTCCCACCGGCATCCTCAACCTGGAAGAGTTCCAGCAGCTCTACATCAAGGTGGGTTCCAGCCGGGGGCCCGAGTGCTGCCTGTGGGGCTGGAGCACCCTGCTCCTGCTGGATGCAGCCTCCGCACTGAGCTCCCCCTCCCTGTTTCGATCTCTCTCTTCTCTCCTCCCTGCAGTTCTTCCCCTACGGAGACGCCTCCAAGTTTGCCCAGCACGCTTTCCGCACTTTCGACAAGAACGGTGATGGGACCATCGACTTCAGGGAGTTCATCTGTGCCCTGTCTGTCACCTCCAGGGGCACCTTTGAGCAGAAACTCAACTGGGCCTTTGAGATGTATGACCTGGATGGGGATGGGAAGATAACGCGGTTGGAGATGCTGGAGATCATTGAGGTACCGGTGCTTAAAATCAGCAGGGGTAGCTTGCGTTTTCCAGGCTTTTCACAGCTACTGGGTCCCTTTTGGCACCAAAGAATGAGTTTTCCTGCCCAGAGCCTTGTCTGAAAGGTACCTGGTGTGCACCTGATTGTAGCTGTGCAGCAGCATAGCTTGTGTCAGCAGCTAACTGGGTCCCAGCAGAACAGCAATCCTGTCCCCTGCCTTGTCCTGGGACCTTTTGCTCATCCAACATTCCCACTCTGGTACTTTGCTTCTCTTCTTGCTCCAGGCCATTTACAAGATGGTGGGGACTGTGATCATGATGAGGATGAACCAAGATGGGCTGACGCCCCAGCAACGTGTTGACAAGATCTTCACAAAGATGGACAAGGACAAGGACGACCAGATCTCCCTGGAGGAATTCAAGGAGGCAGCCAAGAGCGACCCCTCCATCGTCCTCCTCCTGCAGTGTGACATGCAGAAATAGAGCCCTGGGGGCTCATCGCTGGACTGGCTGCAGCCAACCTCTGCTCCCTGTGATGGTTTCCATCCCCGTTTTCTGCTGAGTTCCCCCTGTGCCTGCTTGGCCCCAGGCGTGAGCCACGCTCCATCCCTCCTGCCACCCATCCGCCTCTGCTCCCGGCTGCGTCCTGGGCAGCCCACAGTCCACGGGTTGTAGCTCTCCCTCAGTGGGTAAGCCTGCTCTGGGTATTGCCGGCTTGAGGTTACCCCCAAATCAACCCTCTCCCACCCAGGAGCTGGACTCCCTGCATTCAGTGGTGAGCGTCCTGGCTCCCCAGGGCCAACTGTTCCCACGTCCCTGCTGCTTTCTCCCTGCTTTCCCCCACTGCTCCGCCTGGCCCATTCCCTGATCCTAACTGAAACCAGCTCTTTCCCCTTTCTGCTGATCCCCCCCTCATTGCTCGTGATGCCTCCAGGGAGGCTGAAAAGTCCCAAGTCCTGGCCCTGGTCTCTCCTTCACTGGCAATTCCCTGCAAGGCTGCCTGGAGGGGCCAGGGCTGGCCTCAGGGTGCTGGGGAGCTCGGGCAGGGTGCTGCACCCTCCCTGAGGGCTCGCTGCCTCGGCTCCCTCTGCCCAGCTTTAGCTTTTCCACCTCTGCTTTTGGTGCTGGGAACAGCCAGGGTTGGTCAGGGGACTTTAGGAGAGAGCAGAAGTGTCCAAGGATGTGGCCAGTGTCTGATCCCAGAAGCCACTTTCCACCCCATCACCTGTGTGAGCTGGCAGAGCAAGTGGGTGACCTCTACAACTGCGCTGGCAGCATCTTGGATGCTCTGTGGAGTTTCTGGCCTTCCTGGATATTGAGGTGATGCCTGGGGTCCCAAATTGAAGGCAGGGGCTGCCCGATTCCTCTGTGGCTGCCCTGAGGCAAGGACGGGAGTGTGGGTGTTGAAGGCATGTCCTGGTACTGCTCCTGGTGTGTGGTACTACTGTGGGGACTGCTGGGTCCTGGATTGGGGCTGTGGAGAGGTGTGGATAGGTCCTGTACCTGCTGAGCCTCCTGGCAAGGCTCTGAGGCCACAAAAAACATGTCTGTCTCCTTCCTCTCCCCATCCCAGCCTGCTGCCTCCGTCCCTCCTGCCCCAGGACAGGAATATTGTTACAGATCGGTATTTAGTCTGCACGTTGTGGTGTTGATGACTGTAATATCTGTTAGGAGATGGTGAAGTTGTTATCTATTTTTTTAATGGAAAAATAAACTGTCCCCCATGTGTGGTGTTCCCCCTGCATGGCTTATTGGGGGGCAGCTGGCTGCTGCTGCTATGGGGAGAGTGAGATGACTACACTGCACTCCTGAGCATCGTTTATGGGTCTCATCTGAGCCTGTGACACTCCAAGGGATGGAGAAGCCCTTGGGGACAGCACGGTAGGGTTCAGCCTGGGAAGCCTCGAGGATGGGTGAAAGTGTAACTCTTCAGCCATGCAGGTAGCTTTGGGGAAGGGAATGTTATCTCTTGGAGGGGATAAGACCAGACATCCCTGGTCTCTGGTGGAAATAGGTCTTTGTCAACCAAGAGCCTGGACCCTGGCTGTTCCCTTTATTCAGAGCTGGGCATAGCCAGAGGACCTGGTGGCTTTGTCCTGGGCCCCATCCCAGTACCATCAGCAACTAGGACCTACTATCACTGTCTTTGTGCTTCTTCTCAGCCTCCTCTTTTCCACCCCCACTTCCCTGCACATATTTTCCTCTGGCCTTTCTTCTCCATCAGCAGCCTGCAGAGACAGTGGCTGTTGCTAAGGAGCTCGCCCCAACTCTAAATACTTCTCTGTAGTTAATCAGGCAGGGCTGGCTCCTGGGCAGCAGCACTGGCTCCTGGCTGTGAGCCCGGCTGTGCGGTGCCGCTCACCCCATCCTGCCTGGCTCCAGCGTGCGGGGAGGTGCGTGGCTCTGCTTCCACCCTGCAAAATCACCAGCGTCTAGTCTGTCCTGCAGTAGCCAGCACCTGAGCACAGAGAAGGGAGGATGCCAAAACCATGGCAGTGTGTGTATATTTTTAGGAGTGCTGCTGAGGGAGAGCTCTGTGCACCTTGGGTCCCGTGCTCGCCTGGGCTGTCCGGGAGCGTGTGTGTTTGCAGCTCAGCGGTGCCTGTGGAAGGAGGGATGGGGCAGGTCATCCCCACTGTGTGCGAACCTGGGGATGTGCCAGGGCTGCTGTCTGAAAGGGCAGTAACTCAAGCTCAAGAAGGGACTCAGAATAGCCTTGGTGATCCCAGGGCCCTCGAAGTTCCTGCTTCCCTTGGGGCCACCCCAAAGAAAGCCCAGGTATTTCCCAGGGGGAACCTGGGGAAAGGGAGTCTTTGATGGGGCTGAAATGATGTTAAACTCCCAGAAGGGCATCCCAAAGGGTTTGGGATCCAGCTGGGTGAGCCCTGGAGCCAGCACCCGGCTTCCCCCTGGCTCTGCTCTTCCAGTTGAACCTCAGAGCAAGCAAGGTTGTGTTTGATCAGTCTCATGGGCAGGGACATGGGTGTCCCTCCCTACAGACCACAGCTTCGGGGTTCATGTTCAGCTGCTGGCACAGAGCTTTGGGCAAAACCCTTCTGCTGGCCTCGGTGCTGGGGTTCTGTCACCTCCCCCCAGGCGCAGCCCTGTGCCAGGTGAGATGAGGCGGGATCCTCCATCACTTGGCCCTTCCTGGCTGCTGAGTTTTGGTCTCTGGGGCACAGTCCCTGCTCCCTGAGGGTCTCTGGGCTGTGGGGGTCTGCTGGTCATGGTGCAGGTTTCAGGCTGAGCTGAAAGCTGGGCTCTAGGCATGGCTCTGTGGCTGGCCTCAATCCCACCAGCACTCATGGGAGAACATTGAGTGAAGAGCCTTAATTAATATCCGCGCTCACTCCATTAACTAGCACACCTTGGCACGGAGCAGAGCGCGAGCACGCCTGCCACCCACCACGCAGCCAACTGCCGTGGCTGCTCCTTCCCCTCCAGCTCCCCACGTGGACCACCCGTGTGCCCTTCCAGCCCCCCGGTCCCCTGGCATCGGTGCCACTCTGTGCTTTGCAAGGATGGGCGAACCCCAACCACT